CAGTGTAACCCATCATGACGAACAAAGGTACTTTCAACATAAGCATGGATATGTATGAAAAATGATATAGTTCAAAAAAGTTGTCTATACATAGATGACAACAGAAAAGAGTAACAATTAAGATTAATGAAAGTAATGAAGCTTCGATTAACCAACGAAGAAAGTTTAGATACGTTACTGTATGGTTGCTATTCATCAATTGGAACTATGTATAGAGGAAAGCGATATATACATAAACGAAAATTGATTTCAATTCTTTTTTTTCAATACAATAATCATTAATGAATATCTATCTAGATCATATATGTTCAACTAGTTACTTCCGATGAAATTACTTATATGCCTCCAATAACAATAGAAGAATAATATCATTATAATATAAAAAGAAAAAGTAATAAGGAAGAAAAATAAACCTTCAATTACAAGTGTAATGATGAAATAAATAATAAGTCAAATTTTCATATTAGAAACGCACGATAATTGTTTATATTCTATTGATAACGATTGATTTGATAATAGGAGAAATGTTTCATTGATCGATAAGATGATTCTACTTATTATAATAAAATAATTGTCACTAGAAATAATTTTATTTATATAAAAAATATATCATTCATTCAATTTCTCTTTATCATGCTCATCATTGTCTATCTTACACAAATAATATCATACAAAAACATGTTCATCATCTTTTTCACATATTTATCGTTGTTTTGTCTTATTATTCTCTCTCATCATTCAACAATGCACTGAATGTAGACGAAAAATCATTGACTGATGTATTATTTCAATCAAATTCAATGATTAAATACGTGCCATCTTTTTGTAATCCTTATTCGAATGAAAATCAAAAACCCCCATTGTTAACCCTTTCAATTCCGACATTTTCTTTCGTTCTGTACAAGTTCTCGATTTCTCTTTCTCTCTTGCGTTCTGCTTTAGATAATCAGCTGCATATGAATTCTAATTTTATTAGTTCGGTACGAAAAAAAATAGATTTTCGCAGAGAGAAATACATTCGCTTCTTTGAACATACATATGATATATGTCATGTAGGAAGACGACAGAATGAAAAATTTCTCTTTTACATTCTATATGTGATCTACGAGATAATATGCGGGATTGAAAGGATTAATTCAACAAAAGAGAAAGTATTTCAGTTTAAGAAATGATTTTATTTTTTGTTTTAGAAAGCTAAAAGTCGAGTTAAAAAAGAAAAATAAAGATTTAAGTAAATTAATAATTTTAATAGATTCAATTGAAATAATATTATCTGAATTTCATGTTGATCTTCGTTTATTTATTCAAACAAAATCATCGAAGAAAAATGATTTAACAAAAGATAAAAACAAAAAAAGTCAAGCAACATTAAAATCAAATTAAGATAAAAACAAAGGTCAACAAACAGGTTTGATTTTATCTGAGTTCTATTTTAATTTGAATATTTATTATTTCTCAATAACAAATTATTTAAATTTTAGATTTAAATACAAAAATCAAACTATTCTCATTTATTATTTATTCTATTTAATAAAAAAAAAAAAAAAAACTCAAGAAAATCGAAAAATTTGTTAAAATAATATCAATAGATTTTATTTATTGACAGAAATTTTTTCTTTATATTGAATTTTCATTCTATCAATTACTAACACCATGAGATTTTATTGTCACATAAAATAATCAACATTTATTTCATTAAAATTGAATACAATTTGTTTGAAATAATTAATAATTTTCGAATGAACTTATTTTATTTTGAATTGTTGAAATATTTTCTATGAAATAAATCACATTGCTTAAACTCCAACTGACCTTCATTGAACTTTTCATTTAGATTTTAAATGAAATTTCATTTTAAAAAGATTTTTCTGTAATGAGAAAATATCTCATGTTGATTATTATTTCAATAATTAAGAAAATCTATGGATAATTTATTATTATATTACTTTAAAGAAATTTGATTTATAAATCTTTATCTAAAAACTACTTTCAATATGATATAAACTAATAAAAAACATGAAAAATATTTCCAAAATTCATTCGAGGAAAAAAAGGAACCTATGCTCTTGATATTACTCGACGTTTGTGTAAGACTAATATGTAGAAAGAAAAAATTCTAGCATAGAATAAATATAAACAGTTAGTACATATATATTATGAGTAGTAATAGTTTCTACCAAAATAGAAACAAACAAGAAAAGAATATTACTTAAAAGAGTCAAAACTTCTATCATATCTATGATGTTTAATATTGAAAGATGTTTTATTAATTCGAATATCAATTTTCTAGAATAAATAAGAAAATGAAAATTATCTTCTAAATAGTTATATAATATTGTATAAATAAAATTCTCCAAACAAAACATAATTAATTTACTAAAGAGAAGTTATTTATTTTGTAATTCGATATTGAATAAATAAGATTTCTACGTAAAACAATCATATTAAGTAATACTATATAAGACAATGCTATTACAGAACTAATAGTATATTCTATCATCTGATTCATCATAGTAAAGATCAACAATTATATATAGATAAGACTTTCTTAAATCAAGTAAGAATGAAACAATATCTACTTCGAACTTAATTATCGATCAGACTATGTATCGTATACTTAAAATACAAATAATATCCACTATGCGCAGTAATTGAAGTTTTATAACTTCGTTTTTTTGATCTATTTAATAATTGGTTAGTAATGAATGTATCTTTCAACGGACTATCTTATACAGAAACCATAGAACATGATGAGATATATTCTCATTATAGGTTTATAAATATTTTATAAGGATTAACCTTTGAAAATAAAAATCAATCATGAGCAAATTCATGATTTTAGTTTTTAATAATATAGATTAGGTATGTTTCTGATCGGTTTTTTTTTTCTTCAATAGAATCCGGTAACTTCTTAAAATAATAATTTAAGATAAACTTTCTTCATTTGTTTTTTCATAGTTTTATGAACTTCTATTAAAAGCACTTAATTCTAACAATACTAATAAAAAAGTAAAAATTTCTTTTTCATATCTTTTCAAAATTTCGAATGTATAATTTCTTTACAAATTATTTTCTTTAAAAATACAACAGATTTATTTTTATCGTTTAAACAAAATAAAAGCATCGATCTCAATTCATAGTTGTTTTTTTTCTTAAAAATAATGAAGAATATTTGTCGAAAAAGAAAATAAATTAGTTTCTTAATACAAATATGCCAATCAAATAATTTTTTGTTTGCAATTATTAACAATGTTTTCTCGTTACTTATTTTTTATGCCTACCACATGACTTCTGATAGTAATCGTTTGTCATATAACTCTTATGGTCTGTATGTCTGTCATATAGCCCATATGGTTTATCAGTCTGTTATGCTTTCATATGGATAGATTTTTTTTTTCTCTTAGATATCTTGAAGAGAAATTGATCGACGAAGAATGTCTGACGATGTTTTCTACTTGATTTCTTTTTTCCTTTTATTTTTTTTTCTGCTTGTTCTATTCATACAAAAACAGCCATTAGTTATATAGGATTCTTTTTCTAATAAGATACTTCTCTGTATGTATACCCCCCCCCCCCCAAAAAAAAAAATAATTAAAAAAATATAATAATTTTTTTTTTAAGTTTTTTATTTTATTTTATTTTTTTTTTTCTAAAAAAAAACAACAATTTGTTATAATTTTTTTTTTTTAAAAAAATTTTTTTTTTTTTTTTTCCCCCCCCCCCCCCCCCAAAAAAAAAATAAGTATGCATATGTAATAATTTCTGTCTTAAGTTATTGACGTTATGTTAAGTTTTCTTGTCTATGACATGCACATATATCTGTTCGCACATTAAGTTGATATATTTTATATTTGACAACGAAAACAAAATAAAAAATCATATCTATAAATGATTATTGTATTGAAAAAAAAAAAAAAGAAAGACAGAATAGACGGAAATGCATTGTTGACGATGACGACAGGTATATACATAAATCCTGGTACATACGTCATTACTTATTCTATTATGACTTTTTTAAAGGCTTTATCTTCCTTTTCTTTCCTTTTCTGTTCTTTCTTTGTGATAAGACAAAAAAACATTTATTGACTTAAACTTTGTGTTTGTATCACAAAAACAAATGAGATCAACTAGTTAACTGTTTTGATAAAGCGTATTTTCGCCTATCTTCCAGTCTATTTGCGAATTAGACATGCACACATACACAGAAGGGTGCCAACATACACATATAACGATAAGACTAGAGAGCAAAACTGACAGAAAGATATTATCATATAAATTCATCCTATATATTGCAAAACGATCTTTTGTTTTCTTGTTTTTTTTCGTATTTTTTCATGTCATCTCTGGAATGGATAAATAACAGTAAGATTTTTGTTTTATCTCTCAAAATAGTAATGGTATTTTATGTTGTCAAATAGATATTTTATTTTAAGTAACACTAATCATGTCGATAACGACTACTACAACGATATCGTCAGAGTCTTCAACAAACGAACGATTACCAGTGACCGATGTCAATCATCGTCAAAATTCAACTTCATTTTATAAAGCACATTTTATAAATGAACGATATCCAAAAACTTGTCTTGAAGATATACCTTCTATTATACTTGAATATCCTCCACCAAAAGTCGGTAATCAACTAACACGTTCTCATCATAGTCTTCGTTTTCGTACTCAACCTGTAACATTATCAGAAATTAATGAAGTAGATGAAGAAAATAAAAATGATAATGATAATCAACAACAACAACAATCTCAAACATCAACACTTGGAGATTATCAACGACTTGAACATTTAGGTCTATTGGAAAATGTACGACGATCTGCAAGAAAAAGATTACCAACGAAAAATTATCTCGAACGACAGCGACTCAAAGCTATGAGAGAAGAACCAAGTGAAACAGACGGAAGTTGAAACTTTTATGTATATATTTAAACTTCTATTCCATCTAAAAACGAATCAAAAATAGAACAAAACAACAAAGTATTTAATTATTCTATCTCATTGACATATTTCGATTATACTTTTCATATAAATTGTTCGAAAAATATTTTTGTTTCCCTGTTAATGGTAAACGATGATGTTGAATATGCGTTGTTGCTATTGTTGATGATTGTGATGAATTTGATGGTGAAGTAGGATATTGTTCATGTTCATCAATACCATCATTTTCATTCACTAAATCAGTCATTAATGGTGATTGTAATTCATATTCTTCATTTAAAAAAACTCGTTCATTTTTTAATGATGAATTTTGTTTTATTGATTTATCATTATTTGTATCAGTTAAATTCATAAATATCGGTACAGTTACATCATGATTTTCAATATCTGTTCTTTGCTCTGTTAAACTTGTCATTGGAATTGTATTCGTTGTTATCTTTTGTGTTGGAGCCAGTTGTCCTAAAGAATAGTTAAGTACAGCAAATATCAATGGTATAAGTACCGAAAAATAGACAAGGTAAAAACGCATTGCTATCGGATAAATACATGCTAATAAACAACACGATAAAACAAGTAAAAATCTAAGAAATGATGATGAACACCAATGTCCACATGATTGTAATACTAAATTTGATGATGATATTGTTGTTTCACTTGTTGGTGTTGGTGATTCAGTCATTGGTACTAAATTTAAACCACTTTGAATATTATTATTACTAATTACACCAAGTGATGAAAGCATTGATACTGAATTAGGTATAGATAAACGTTGGTTTTGTTGATGATGTCGAGATGATCTTTTTCGACATGGTGAACATTTTGACATTTTTAAACGTAAATAAAAATAAAAAAGACAATCATAAAATAATTTTAATAAAGCAATTATAGACATAAATAATGTCGTTAATAAAGGTATTAAATTAAATAAAACACTTTGTATAAGACGATTACGATCAAACCATTCTTCAAGATAACTTATTTGTGTTGTACCTGGACAATAAACAGGTTTTGGAGTTTTTTCATTAGAATCAATTGTATAAAGTAATGGTATAGTTGCTGTAAATGATAATGACCATATACAAAGTACAAGACAAAAACATAGACGACGAAAAAATCGACGTAAACAAAGACCACAAGATTGTAAACATGTACGTGTCGAATGATGTTGATCGGACGATGACGGTGATCGTAATAAACATAAGACAAAATTTGCATGCATGGCTGTTATTGTATACGCTAGAATAAATTAAATCATTGATAAAAAATTTCTTTTTTTTGTATTCTCAAAAGAATAAAAATTTTCTTACTGTCAATATTCATTTTTTTCATTATTCATCTCAAAATCAATAATAAGACTTTATTATATTAGGTCATATTAAAATTAGTAATTTATAAATCATAATAAGATTAAAAAGAAAACAAAAGAACAGATTTATTATAATGAAATTAGCATCATATTATAGTATTTAGAAAAATAAAAAACGATAAGTTTTAATATGATCATTATAATAGATTTTTGTTTCTCTCTCATTATATTTTATTCATCAAATCAATAAGAAAACTTTATGTGTTCAAGTTTCTTCTTTTCTTATGTCTATAAAACAAAACAAAAAAAAAAAGAAAAAAGGAAAATCATACCAAGTACAACAGTACACGATGTTTGTAAATAATAAATTGCTCTACAATTGCTTTCTGAAAGTACTTTTGAACGAAGTGTTTGTGCTAGATAATAAATGTATAAACAATTAAGTAATGAACTTGATAAAGCAGCACTTGAAAAATAAAAATTCACTATATTACGATATGAAGCAAATGCCATTAATAAAGGTATGACCATATTTAAGGCGACTAAAATCGATGTGGCCATCAATTCGATGATTAGCCATGTAGATATACGATAGAACAAATATGGCATTGACAATAATGATGTTTCACCATCGACTCTTTTGTCTATTCATTAGACCTTTGTCAGATCGAGCTTAATCTGAAACACATTAAAAACTAATCTGCTTCTTTTTTTTTTTTCTTTCTTCTTCTTTTTTTTTTTTTCTTTTCTTAGGCTATTTCTCTTAAAATTCTTTTGACAATGGCAACAACAAACAACTACATATCGATTGATCGACTCGAGTACAACGATGTCCTTGACACATTACGCACACACCACGGGGAGAAAGAAATGAAGAGAAGCGAGAGAAGGACTAATTCGATCCCATTCCCGATTTGATGAATCGTGTTCTCGTTGTCATAAAGAATAAGAAAAGAAAACTGCCTTTGGTCTAGTTTGTTTTGGTAGTATAAGACTCGAGGCGCATCCAAAGAAATGAATCGTCATGTAATTATGTTCTCCTCTGTCTCTTTCTTCAAACACATATTCAAAAAAAAAAAAAAAAAAAGAAGGAAAAGAAAAACTCGACTGACAACGACAACAATAACAAGACAAACTAAATTCATCGGAAGCTTTATTTCGTCCGAAGTCAATCATGCAAAAATCTATAAGTCATTTCTTGAAATAAACTAAACATATCAATGATATCATCTTCAAAAATTTCGACTATATGTCTATATATATTTGTTTAAAAGTAGTCACAAAGTTCTAGTGAATAAAAAATACAATTTACCACCTTTTTGTGTTGATAAATTTTTTTTTCTAAATATTAACGACCGAATAATAAGCAGTAAAAGAAACTCGTCAACAACAGACAATTAGCTCCTAAAGAAAACGGCAAACGTTTGTCGGACGGCGGTAACGATTGAGCTTTTAACATAGAAAAAAACGGCAATATAGCGTATAACTACGAACAGAATAATTGTAGAAAAAAAAAAAAAAAAAGAAAAAAAATAGTCGGAGACGATGAAGAAAAAGATGATTTATGATATCGTGAATCGAAATAAAGAAGTGCGAAGAACTGAAAATAGCAACCATGACAAGAGAAAAAGAGAGAAGTGAGAAAACTTAAAGAGAAGAGAGTTCAGTCGATTATTTCGATATGCTCGTATAATAGAACAAGATAAGACAAATGAAATAGAAGAAACAAGACGACACTTTTTTGACAAAGACACATAGAATCGATTGGGTGAGAACGATTCAAGCGAAATGTAGCCTAGTGCTCACTTATTTCCGGTTATAGTCGTATTTCAGAATAATTTACGAAGACTCTTTATGCTCGTCTTCACATTCAGAAATTCAAGGTTGATGTTACAACTCTCAATAAGTATGACTACGACAATATAACATAGAAAAAAAAGAAAGAAAGAAAAAGATAATATATATAGGCCATCTTATATACTCAAATTAGCTAAATAAGAAACAAATGACAAAGATCTTTTCTATAGTTTCATCTATTATTTATATCAAACACGCTTTGTTGCACACGAAAATAGAGAAATGATGAACAAAGAATCAATGATCCATCTTTGTCTTTGAACGACATTATATTTTATATGATTGTCATAGCAAGAGTACTTATTCTTATTGTCATCATTTTTTATTTATATATTTTTTTTTCTATCGAGTTTTTTCTTCGACTCGCGTACGATGCAAACAATCAAACAAAACTTATTTAAACATTGTTACTATTCGATACAATTGATATAATAAGTGACAACACAAACATACTCAGATTCCATTCATTGATAACACAAATATAGAAAAGATATAAGATAATTATGTGCATCTTCTTCTTCTTCGTCGTCGTCATCTTCTTAACAAGATCAAAGCAAAAAAAAAAATGAATAGAACTACTAACTATTGTATGATTAGGAGGCACATACGTGTCATCATTATTATCAACATCCAATCACAATCTTATGTCCTTGATAAATATGTAAGAGCTAAACCACCTGGCATGATCCAAAATATTTGATCGTGATTGATTTCTTTCCTTTGATATTATTAAATAAATAACTCAATGTATATATAGCTGTTCGGGATATTGAATGAGATAATCTTTGTTCTTAACAACTGAAGATCAACATTGACGAACAATACCATGTATTAAGTAGAATTGATGTAGTTTTAAATTGAAATAGAACATTATGAATAGAAAAATTCTTTGATATATTTATTTATTAATATATTTTATTTAATTATTTATTGCTCATTTGAAAAACTGATTTAATACACTTTTTAACATGCTCATACAAAGAATTATTGTATTTGTCAATATCATAAATGTAAATAAAATATTTTTAATTATATCAATGAAAAATGAATATCATTTTTTTTAGAATTAATGAGAATGCATCTGCTATGAATGAAAACTTGTCTTTTGTTATAAGCTAAATTATCGATGATGACCTAGATCTATATTTAGCAACCTAATTTGAGATGACATTAAGTATTAAAAAGTATTCTTAATTTTTGTAGTAAATGAAAAACATTATGATTAATAATAAATTTGTCTATTTTAATCAACTAATTATTTAAATGAGAAAGAAAAAAGAATTGTAAATATAGAATTAATCTCATGTTAAATACAAGAAATTGGTATTTTAAAAATAAAATTTTTTCAAAGCAAACTATACATTAAAATAAAATTAATTAATACTGTAAAAATAATAACATAAAATGTCAACTTCAGTGATTTACTGTTTTCAATAAAAATTTTTTTTTGTGTTCCATAGGAAAGTTAAAGACTCTACGAGTTCTATGCTGATTTATCCAATAACTCTTATGTGATAATAGTTAATTATCTTAATCTATTCCGGAAACTTGCATTAACTAAAAGTTTCAATGTTAATCAATTATCTACTGATTATAATTTACATCGAAGAATAATACTAATTCTATGAAAAGGTTAATTCTTTGCCGTTAACAATTGTAAATCCATGGAATACATTCTTTTCTTATCATTCCGTTGTTTGCTTTTGAATTAAGTATTTCCTATTAAGATATGAATATCGATATTTTGTACTCTCATAATGATCTATCGATCAATAAAATAAATCAATCCATGCATCAATAATCAATCTTACCCTCTTAAACAACTTGAATCTATTTATTAAGACAAATAATACACAAACTGATGTTTGCTACAAGGGCTCTCGTTGCCATTCGTAACCCAGTAACTCAATAAATTACTGTCTACTCGACGTTCTAACAAAGTTAAATTACAACAACTATTATTAATACCATTATTTTTATCGTTATTAGCACGTTCTATCTTTCATATCTCTGTCTATATAAAATTAATGTGAAAACCGCTATATAAATGTACTTGTCCGTCCTTGATTGTTCTTTCATACATGAAAAATACTAGTCGAGAAAAAAAGACATTGTTCTCTTCTCATTGGATATATTTGATTCTAAATACAAATAATCTTTCTGAATTAAAAGATTTAATCAATTAGTAAAATTAATTATTGTACCAATATTAATATAGAATAATTTCTTTATTATTTAGTTGTACCAAAAATAAAAAAACAAACGTATATAATTGAACTTTTTATTATAGTTGATTTTTTGAATTTTTTTGTTTTATTCTTCAAAAATATCGATATTACGATGTTATCTTTATTCATTAGAAAGGTATACTTTTGTATTCAAATAAACAGCGCAGTATTTAATAAAAAAAGAAAAGAAAAAGATAGCGAGTCTTTGGGTTTGCACAAAATAAGAAAGAAAACAAAACGTTAGATTGAAAAGAAAAAGTTTCAAAACTGGTTTGGCTATATATATATATATATGTATATATAAAATCTCTTGTTTTATTCACAGAGAGAAAGATCGTTCTTTATGTTCAAATATTTGCATAATGATTATATATATATCAAATCAATCACTGTTAATCGATGATTCTACATCTTAAATAAAACAAAAATTAAATTTAACAAAAAAAAACAAACAAACAAAATTGAACCTGTCTGTAATTGATGTTCTGTAGTTGACCAAATTCGAACAGTTGCATCATCAGATGCTGAAGCAAATAGTAATGGTAATATTGGATGCCATGAAACACAATTAACAGTACGTGTATGACCGGAAAAGATCATTATTGGACGTTCTTGTCTTCGATGCCATAAATAAACTTTTGAATCTATTTAAAAAAAAAAAAAAGTCTCAACAAATTTTATTAACATTATTAACTAACCTTCACTACCGCTTGCTATAAATTCTTCATTAGGTCCACCAAATGTTGCATGATTAACATAATGTCCTTGTGTTACACCTTGATATTTACGAAGTAATTGTCTATCATTTAAATCCCAAAGATGAACACCCTTTGAAAAAAAAATAATCAAATTAAATAAAAAAAAAAAAAGAATTTTGTCTTATTCTTTATTTATACTTGTGTAGCAATATTAAGAAGAGCTAAACGACCATCTTTACTTATTGTAAATGACATAATTGGATGATCTTCATGAATTCTAAATAAATAATATACAAACGAAATTATTTATTTAAAAAATAAAATTTCTTTTTTTTTTGTGTATTTATACATTTGTTGATCAGTTAAACTATCAAATTTATATGAACTAATACGTTTTTGAGCATCAGCTGCTAATATAATTCCTTCATTAGTTACATTTAAACATTGTAAACGAACACCTTCCCAACTATCAATTACATTACCCTCAATATCCTAAATAACAAAAAAAACAACAGCAAGATTATTAATTAATGAAATATTTTTCTACATACACAGTAATAAAATTGTCCACGTGATCCTCCACATACAAATCTTGTTCCACATGGTAACCAAGCAGCACAAGTTAAACTATCATCTGGTGTATGATGTATACGTGATCGTTGTTCTTCTTTCTAAATTTTAATAAGAAGAACATTTCAAGGAGAGATGAAACAGCAGGAACTGCAATCTTCAAATCTGCTGTTTCTAG